TGCCACCTATTGGCATGTGTATGCTAGTTACCCAGTGGGGGTGGCATAGAGCTATAATACAAGGAGAGGAAAATGTTCAGCCTCTCTGAGTAGTTAGTTGTTTTACTGTTAGCCACTATGTAAGTTTTATGGGCTATGTAGTTGTAACAAAGTACCAAGTAGTGTACCTCTTCTCTAAGGGTTTGTAGCTAGAGATTTTGTTAAGCTTGTGTTGTTAATAAGTCTTGGATGCTACATTATGTGTTTTTCTTTATATTTTGTATGATATTTGCATTTTATGGAATTTTGCATTTTTATCAATAAACACCAGTTAGTATATATTTTCTGACTGGATTTCTTTGGGAATGTAGCATCCAAGACTTATTATTGCTTTCATGGCTAATATTTTCCTGGAGTTTTTGCTGCGCTCTGCACAAACAGAAGTGTTTGTGATTATCACTCTGCCCAACAAGGACTAAGTATTAAAGACATATTTACATGGCAATAGCAACTTGCAAGTCCTAAATGGGTGAGTGGTCCCAAAGCAATAGCCTGTTGTTGGGGAAGGTGTGTGCTGCAAGAAAGCACTGGATAAAGATTTGCTACACTGTGGTGTGTCCAGCCCTTGGAAAGCAAAGAACCCCCATAACCACAAATGGGCTACCATTGAATTTGAGACACTACCTATTATACCTGCTGCAGGTGATTGGTGATGTTGATGATCTGTTGATTAGGGATGCTTACAGCCACTTGGACCAGCTGCACAATCACAGCTGTCTGCTCATGAATAATAGCTAAGTGCAAAGGCCTGTGGGGGGAAAAACATGGATTTAAAAACAAGGAGATGTAGCTCCTAATTGTGATAGCAATGCTAGTCAACAAACAGAAGTGAGAATGTGAGAGCCCTGCATCTTCCAACTTGCCAAAAAACTGTGGCTGGCATCTTCAGAGGTAAAAGTGGTCTGCTCTGTAGCATACTTCATGGCAGCTGCCAGCCAATGGAGCAGAAACTGACTGAACTCATGTTTGTAACAGAACTAATCTCTAACTGGACCAAGCTATCAGAATTCTGGAAAGCCAGTTCCTGGTTGATTCTTCAACTAGGTGAATTTGTAAGTGGTCTGATTTAAAGAAGTTCCAAAGGAGCAAATTTTTTATTGATCTTTCTTTGAACACACTGCTGCTTATTATTTTTCAGGTGAGACTGCTATAGATTCCATATGGTGTTGGTTAATTAAGGGCTGTTTTATTTTGGTGTGATGTAAAGCTGGAAACCAGGCTCTATTAACCTTCAGAGAGACTTCTACAAAACGTAGTTATTAACACTCAATTAAAAGAACATGAAAGATAGTCAGCTAGAACTGCTTGAAAAATCCATGGTAGCACTGCTACATAATGGGCACAAAATTCATTTTAAAGACACACAAATGCTAACAATCATGTCAAATCATCATGCACAACTACACAGAAGGCTACTGAGATTTATAAACATCCCAATAATTTTCACAAGAGGGGAGAGAGTTATATACCATCCATAGAACATTTTATACCAATTTTTCCTCAGGTTATGACTTGGTGTAAATTTTATTGATTTTTTTCCAAATATCTTCCCATTGTTCCAATGTTATTAGTTTTTAAAATGTTGCATCCATTTTATCATGCAGTGTTTTATTTGTTCTGTCTCTGTATTATATTTCAGTAACAATTTACAGTCATGTGAAAAAGTAAGTACATCTCATGTAAAGCTTTTTTTTCTTTTTTTAACATATATGGACATATTAATATTTCATCATTCTATATAAAGATAAAGGTGATATAATTGAACAAAAACTATGAAAATGGACTTTGCAATCATTTATTCAACATAAAATTAACAGATATTCCATTTCCTTCTATGAAAAAAGTACTCTAATACCTGACATGGCCCCCTTTAGCAGAAACAACCTCACATAGGTGTTTCTTATAGCTGTCTACCAGCCTCTGACATAAACCGGAATTCTTTCAGCTGTGTGATGTTTGAGGGCTTTCTTGAATGCACAGCTGTTTCAAATCATCCCACAACATCTTGATGGAATTCAGATATGGGCTTTGACTTGGCCGTTCCAGAACCCTCCATTTCTTTTCTTTTCTTTTCTTTTTTTTTTTGAGCTATTCATTGGTGTATTTACTGGAACGTTCAGGGTAGTTGTCATATTGCAAGGTCCACTTTTAGTTAAGCTTCAATCTTCTCGCAAATGGTGTCACATTATCCTCAAGCACCCTCTGGTACAATTTTTAGTGGATTTTATGATGGTGAGCTGCTCAGTCCCAGATGCAGCAAAGCAGCCCAAACCCTAACATTTCCACCACCATGATTTACAGTTGGTATCAGGTTCCTCTGGTGAAATGCTGTCTATGGTTTTTGCCAAACATGTCTGTGGTCAAATAACTCTATCTCTGCCTTGTTTGTCCAGAGCACACTGTTCCAGAAGTCCTGGTCTTTGCCTAAATGTTTTATGAGCAAACTTTAGTCTTATTGATGTTCTTTTGTCCTGGCACCCCATGTAGATCTAATTTATGCAGCTTCTTTCTGATTCATGCACTTTGACATCAATAGTGGCGAGAGTTACCTGTAGGTCATGTGATGAAATTCTGAAGTTCTTAGAGACTTCTTTCAGCATCTTGCATCTGCTCTCAGGATGAACTTGCTGGGACAGCCTGGCCTGAGCAAGCTGGCTGTTGTTTGAAATCTTCTCTGCTGTAGTTGATCTTCCAGATGTCCAGTTGTTTGGTGATCTTTTTAAATCCCTCCCCACACTCAGAGGCATCTATAACCTTCTTTCTGATGGCCTCAGAGAGCTCTTTCGATCTAGGCATGGTAATACCACACACTTCAACAATAAAGAGCAAATCAAACTGAATGTCTGAAGTTTCAGTAAGACACGTTACTCCTAGATCCTCTCTAAGGATGTTCTAATCATTTGAACTTGATCTGGTGCACCGATTCTAATTTTAGCCATCTGAGGCTGTGATAAATGTAGATGTGTAGTACTTGCTTTTTCCACATATGAAATGTGCAATTATGTTTATTTAAATTACACCAAGGAGTACAAAATGTAAATGGTGCATGGTATCTATTATATCCTCTTTATCAATATTGTTGAAATGAATATCAAATATCTGTATGTTGAAATATGTTTAAAAAGTCAAAAATTTCAATGGGGTGTGCTTAATTTTTTCACAAGACTGTATAAATCTATCCTTTAAGTGATCTAGGTTCTGTATAAATGTGTAAGTTGTTGAACTTAGCAGTGCTTTCAAATTTTCAACAAACTTTGTCTTTTAGTATATCCTTTCAAATCCTTGTCTTCCTCTGTTTCTTTATACCATAGATGAAGTCCATTAGCTAAGTCTGCTCCTTCTATGCTTGGTATTCTGCTGTTAGGAAATTTCATCCATTTTGTTATCCATGACAGACAGCTTTCCATAAAATATAGTCTAAGACTGGGGAAAACTAGTCTACCTCTCTCTTGTGTCTTGCAAACTGAAGCTTCCAGATACTTTTCAAGGGCAGTTCCATGTAGACTCCATTACAGTAGTCAAGATAGGAGGTGACTAGGGCGTGGATGACTGTGAGCAGGGCCTATTGGTCCAGGAAAGGGTGTAACTGGCACACTATCCAGACTTTTTGTCTTTCTTATCAATAATTAAGTCTGGGGTGTTGTGTGGCATGTGCTTGTCTGTTTGAATTCTAAAGTCCCAGAGCACTTTACCTTCTTCATTTTCTGTTACTTTGTCTGTTTTGTGGTCCCACCAGTTCTTGCTTGCAGGCAAATGGTATTTCTTGAAGATATTCCAATGCATTATTGTTGCTACTTTGTCATGCCGTTGTTTGTAGTCAGTCTGTGCAATATTCCTGCAGCAGCTAACTAGGTGGTCTACTGTTTCTTCAGCTTCTTTGCAGAGGTGGCATTTGCTATCTGTTGCTGTCTTCTCAATTCTGACTTTGTGTACACTTGTTCTTAAGGCTTGGTCTTGTGCAGCCAGAATTAGCCCCTCTGTCTCTTTCTTCAACTTTCCCACTCTTAGCCATTGTCAGGTCTTGTTGTTATCTGCTTTGCCTGCTAGTTTTGTTGTGTACTGGCCATGTAATACTTTGCCTTGCCAGGACTCTTTTCTATTCTTCATTTGGTCTTTCTTGTAGGCCAGTTTGGTTTCTTTAGTGTTCAGTAAGCCTTCATGGTGTACTAGCTTCAGTACATCTTCTTCACTGTCCTTCAGATATTCTTGCAATGCCCTTTTTTCTTCAACTGTTGTTGTTGTTATCCCACCTTTATTTATGTATTTATCTCTCTCTCTTCACACACACAAGAAGTTTCGTTCTTGGGGGGTTAAATGCTTGTTACTATTATGTTTATATTTTTTTTTCTTTTTTTTTTTCATTAGTTTTGTATTCAGAAAAGGAGCCAAAACCTTTTATGACTTTCATCAACTGTCATATAGAGCTTTCTGGTTGTTAGTACTACGTTGTCTGCATAACATTTCATCCTGTAACCCTCTCCTTAAATTTTGACCCCAATTATCTACTTATTTTTTAGATCCTTTTGGCCAAAACTTCAGGGCAATTAGAAATTATAAAGAGGAAGGAGGACACCCTTGCCTTGTGCCTTTGCTAACTGAAAAGCTTGTAGAGAATGTTCCATTTGTTGTAACCTTTGCTATTGATATATGCTCTCCACCCAGGTTTTAAATTCTTCTGCAGGATTCATTTTAAGACTTCTAGTAAAAAGGTCAATTCCAAATTGTCAAAGGAATCTAGGAATATCACTGCTGCCTTCTTTTTCTTAATACTGATGAGTTTATGATAAATCTGTTATCTTTCATCTTCCTTTCTGGAATATAATCTGTCCAATCTGTGTATATAATTTCAGAAATGCACTTCCTCATGCGTTCAGCTAATATGGTAGTAAATACCTTATAATCAACGTTCAGTAAAGAAATTGGTCTATATGATTGAGGTTTCTTCAGGTCATTCTCTTCTTTGCGTATTAACATTATACATGCCTCTTCCCATGTCTATGGTATTGTTTTTGTTGGTTTAATTTTATCCATCATCTTTAATAGTGGTTCCACCAGTTCCTTGCCTAGCTTTTTCTAATATATAGGGCTGCCAGCCTACCTGAGTCTGATGTCTTATTACTTTTTATTTTTTTTATTGCTTCTTTATTGTTAAAGATTTGGTTAATATTGTCTATGATCTTCAATAAATTCTCTAGGTATTTGATTTAAATTTTCAAATTTCCTTCAATTTTATGCCTGTAATATAGTACATTTAAGAAACCATGAGTTCTTCTATTATTTCCTATCTTGTATATAGCAAATTGTTCCCTTTTCCTATCACTGTTATCCTCCTTTCTTTCTCTTTTCTAATTTGGTATGACAGAAATTTCCCTGGTTTGTTTGGGTTTTCAAAATTATTTTAACATATTTTATCTTCTTATGAAGTTCTACCATTCCCATAATTGTTGTTTAACTTTATTTAGCCATCTCAGTTCTTATCATCCTGGATTGGTTTTATGAATCAGTTCTAATTTCTTTATTTTTAATTGTGATTTCCATCTATATTCTTCTTTTCTGGTTTGCTGCAAGCTTCATTAGGATTCCTCTCGTATAAGCTTTATTTGCCTTCCATGTGTTTTTTTTCTGACATACCTGGACTCATGTTTATTTTTAAAAAGCATTTTAGTTGTTTTTCTTGCTGCTTTTTATTTAATAAAAAATACACACACATACACATGCTCCCTACTACTACATTGGAGAGGCCATAGTTACACCATCGTAAGCATGATATCACATATTTCAGAAGAAAGAAAAAATATCTTGCTAGGTGGGGTTGTAGAATTCCGTTCTCACAGGGTTTGTTGAAACCAGGGACTAAAGAATTATTTTCCATGTAGGACTTTCTAGCTAAGTTACAGCCTTGTCTTTAGCACCAAGCTGACAGAAATTTGGCACTGAAAAGCTTATCCCCATAATGAGGAAAAGACTAGAACAGTGCCAAGAAATTTGAAGACTAATTCTCTCCAAATGATCTGAGACCAGGAGCCCTGATCTTTCCAAAGTATACTTACGTATCTCCATTCTCATCCTGAGAAGCAGCTAGGTGTCTTTGAACAGCCAATAACATACGTGGGTCAGCAGTAACTGCATAATCCAGAAGAGCCTGGGCACTGCGCCGAGCAAGCATTAGCATCCATGAACTGCATTCCTGAGCTAAGTAAAATGGGGAAAGGCAAAATATCAACGCAAGCAATGCAAGCACAAAATTGTTCTTCTTACAATTCATCTCCATTCATCACTCTATTTTATTTTTTTTAATTTATACATCACATTTATATAGCCACCCATCTCATGCAAAGCAACTCTGGGTGGTATAGGACAATTAAAATAAAATAACAATGAATAAAAACAGGCATTATAAAAAGATAACAAATTATTATTAAAATAAAAACATTTTCACAGATTTTAAAAATTCTTCAGTACATCTTCACCTTCTTATGCCTTGTTCTTAAAAAGAGAAGGATGTTCAATTTAGTGTAGTAGAACAAATGTTTTGTATGCTGATGGCATGTAATGAGAAAGATTTCAGAGACCCCTGCCATTCAAAGCAGGTAATGTTGGGTGAAATTTGCCTTGACCTAAGGCCACTTCCAAATGCCTGATCCTAGATAATAAGTTTGGTGAGGTAGCAGCATGGGCTTGCCAGCAGACTCAAGAAGTTCAATTATCTGCAGTTGGGCTGCTGTGTCAAGGGCTGTTCCATTACTTTCCACTAACTTGCAGTTGATACAGAAGAGGAAGTTAGAAAGCTAGGAAAGAATTTACACTTTGGAGTCCTTGGAGTTCTCTGAACTTGGTTGTTTTCTTGCAAATGTTTCATTACCCAGCTAGGTAACATCTTCAGAGCAAGAAAACCACCAAGTTCAGAGAACCCCAAGGACTCCACAGTTCAACCCTGAGCTACACATATTCGCTTCTATTGGTAATTAACACTTTGGCAGGCATGAAAAGGAATTACTATAGACCTCTATATGTTTTACATCTCTATATACCCATTTATTGTTTGGAAATAAAAGTGAGAATTCCAGGGAGTTCCTGTATACTTTGACGAAGTACCAGCCTCTGAGAGAAAAACAAAACAAGGTGTGGTACCCAAAAAAGTCTGATTTTTGCAGAAATAAAAGACTAACATATTTCTGAATGTAAATCACAAATATTTTGAATCAGATAAGAGAAAAACAAAGCTTCCAAGTAGACCACTCCCCTCCTCTGGTCTATGGGCAGATCCTCTAGTACTTGAACATCCCTTTTCTCAAAATGAGTTATCAATAAACAGTAACTGAATTCACACATATTGTGGTAGACTAGTTTTTTTTACCATGGTTTATACTATAAATCTCAATTAGTTGAGTTAATGAAACACACTAAACCAGAAGCCTCGGTTTAAAAACTCATAATAACTGAGCTCACATATGTTAAGCCAAAACTATTTGATAACTTAAAATTAAATATAAGCCAAATCAGTATTGTTCAAAAAGATAAGGACAGCCTTTTGAAAGTGGGTAACATCTTCAACAGCACTTTCTACTATTGCACTTTTTTCTCACCATGGAGTATCAATTGTCAATACAGATCAAATGCGCTCATACTGAAGCTGGTCTGTGAACTATATCTATTTCAGAAACTCAGAATACAAAAACTATTCTGAAATTCTGAAGGCTTGGTTTATTTGTACATCATTCTGAAATTCTGTGACATTTGCTGCTTATATGAAAGTTTAACTAAAAATCCACAGGGTATTAAAGGAATAAATTTGTAATCATACTTAATTCCTGTAACTAAGGAGAGTTACGGATATGACTGTGGAGTAGAGAAAGACCATTTAATACCATACAGTAAATTATGTACACATGGAAATCTCAACAACATAAGCTGACTTCAGGATGCTTCTCGCACTCAGAAAAAAATAGCAACTCCCCAGCCCTACCATGCCGCAGCAGTTCAACATAATCACTGCCATCTTCTGAGGGATGATGGTCACTGTCTTCCAGCCTAGCAGTTCTGGGCATCTGGATGCCTCTTCCACCTTGGTAGCTGCCCACAGGATGGGATCCGGATAGGTAGATGCTGTTGTTATATGGACTATACCCTGAAGAATGCCAGGGACTCCCAGCTAGAAGAGCAGAACAAAAACAAAAGCCATGCAATTTTAGACTATTCATGTCTAAAAAGAGAACATTTTAGCTATTCATAATCACATGGGTTGTTGCTGCAAGTACTATGCCTAAAAAGTCAACTCTTTTGCAAGCTTTGTATAATTGCAAAATGTTCACATGCTTTGTAAGGGCACTGTGGCCACAATGTATGACAATTCATAAGGGAACAGTAACCACTACTCAGCCTAAGATATTAAGCTATCATACCCTATTTACTTCAGGCTGATCATTAATGTATATGAACTGCTTACCTTCTTGGCTACTGGAGTCCTTTGAGTGGCTATCTGAGAATCCCCAGGTATGGTAACACCCTTGAAAGCCTCTCAGGAATTTCTAGAGGTTGCAGATTTCTTGGCAGGAGCCTTGCCCCCCTTACATACCAGGTATACTAGGCATGCTAGCTCCTTTGAATTTCTATCAGTTCTTATAACTGCCACAATGAATCCAAGAAATAAACTGAGGTCACTTAATACCAGACAGAGGATTAAAAATACAGTCAGGACCAGAAATATTGGAACAAGGATAACTGTTTTGGCATTTGGCCTCTGTACACCACCACACTGAAGTTGAAAGGAAACACGCCCAGATGGGAGCGAAGTCAGGACTTTCAGCTGTAATTCAAGGAGGTTGACCAAAATGGGGCACTAACCATTCAGGAAGTACAGCATAAAAACAATCCTAAAAATAAATTCCAAGAGGATAGAAAATTGGCAAGTAATTCCAGTGAGCATCATCAAGGGACTAACCACCCCCAGCAGTGGGTAGAGCCCATATCACCCCATGCACACTGACAGAGCCAGGTCTTTAAAACTTTTCAGACAGCCAGGAGGGTAGGGCCCCACCACACCTCTGGGGGGAGAATATTCCAAAGGGTGGGGGCAACGGCAGAGAAGGGTCTCTTCCTGGGCCCCACCAGCTGACGTTCCCTTGCTGATGGGATCTGCAACATGCCCTCTCCACCTGACCAGGTGGGATAGGTTGATATAATGGGGATGAGACAATCCCTCAGGTAACCTGGACCCATGCCATGTAGGGCTTTAAAGGTGATAACCAACACCTTGAATTGGAGCCGGAAGCAAACTGGCACCCAATGCAGCTCACGCAGCAAAGGTGTTACATGTGCCATCTTTGAGGCACCTAATATTATCCATGCAGCTGCATTGGCTTTAAAGGTGATAACCAACACCTTGAATTGGAGCCGGAAGCAAACTGGCACCCAATGCAGCTCACGCAGCAAAGGTGTTACATGTGCCATCTTTGAGGCACCTAATATTATCCATGCAGCTGCATTTTGAACCAGCTGTAGTTTCCAGATACTCTTCAAGGATAGCCCCATGTAGAGCGCATTGCAATAGTCTGAGAGTTGACCAGAGCATGAGTGACTGTTTGGAGAGCCTCCAGTTCCAAGAAGGGGGTGCAAAGGTGGGCAAAGGCCCTTCTGGCCATGACTGCCACCTGCTCTTTGAGCAGTAGTCGCGAGTCCAGGAGGACCCCCAGATTATGCACTGGGTCTGTTTGGGGCAGCGCGACCCCATCCAAAACCAAAGATGGTAAGTTCTCAGATACAGAGGGGCCTCCAATCCACAGCCACTCCATCTTACCAGGGTTCAGGTGAAGCCTGTTGTTCCCCATCCAAGCCCCCACAGCCTCCAGGCACCACAAAAGGGTGGTCACGGCATCACTCAAGTCACCCAGGATAGAGATGTATAACTGGGTATCATCTGCATATTGATGATACCTCAGCCCACGGTGACAGATGATCTCACCCAGCGGTTTCATGTAGATGCTAAGAGCAGAGAGAGTAACAAGCCCTGTGGCACGCCACAATGAAGGGGCTGTGGGCTGGAACTCTCGCTCCCAATCAACACCGGTTGTGATCAACCTTGGAGGAAGGAAGAGAACCAGTTCAGAAATATACCATCCCCTCCAACTCCCTAAGTTGACCCAAAAGGACGAAAGCCGCTGAGAGGTCAGGAAGAGGAAGGATGGTTGCACTCCCTCCATCCCACTCCCTCTAGAGATCATCCATGAGTGCGATCAATGGCAGTTCCATCCCAAATCCAGGCCTGAAACCTGACTAGGAGGGATCCAGATAATCTGTTTCCTCCAGGATACTCTGGAGTTGCAACGCCACCATCTTCCTTAAAAAGGGGAGGTGGGAGACTGGGCAAAAATTGTCCTGTATGGTGGGGTCCAGTGATGGCTTCTTGAGGAGGGAAGCACCAGCACCTCCTCAAGGCCCTCAAGGCCACTGGAAACACTCCCTCCTGCAAGGATGAATTCACCATTGCCCGGACCCACCCACGTCACCTCCCGAGTAGCCTTAACCAGCCAGGAAGGACATGGATCTAGATGGCAAGTGGTGGCATTGACCATTTGGAGGACCCTGTCCACTTCCTCGGGTTCAACAGGATCAAACTGTTCCTAGATAACAGGGCAAGTCCGTACCCTGGGCATCTCTACAGACCATGCTGCATGCTTGGTATCCAACTGGGACTGGATGTGAGCAATTTTATCCTCCAGATGCCCAGAAGCTCCTCTGCACGCCCCTGTAAATGGGCCACTGGGTCCCCCTTTCCCAAAAGAGATTGGGTGATCTTAAACAAGCCCACTGGGCAGCATTCTGCAGATGCAATAAAAGCAGAGAAATGTAGACGTTTCACCACTCTTACTGCCGTAAGGTAGGCCTTAATCGCAGCTCTATTACCTGAAGGAGGGATCGGTGTTCCTATGACGACTAAGAAAGGACTGCTCTTCCAAGGACAGAGCAGAGAACAGTATTGGTTTAAAATAGAGAGCTGGGCTCAAATAGCTTCCTAGCATAATTCAGTAACTGATGCTGTGGAATAATCCAAATTCAAAGATAGCAGGGAAGCTGTTGTATTAGAAATCCTGAGCCAAAACAGTTGATTTATAATGGTTGTTTTAAAGACCAGGACATATGTTCTAACTATGACTTACTCATAGCATCTACTTGGCAATATTTATACTGTAATTAAAGAATATACTGTACTAACAAAACAATAAAGTCCAAATCCCTAGCAGCTCCAGAGCTACCTGGAACCTTAAGATTCCTATGAGACTCTGAATTTGAAGTGAAAACAACAATTCAATTTTACATGGAATTAAAAACAGGATGAAGGTTGCCATTCACAGAAATATGGAATGAGGAATTGGAATATCTTGGAAAATCAATGAGTCCAAGTTTAAGTAATATAAAATATACTTATGATTTACGAATAAAGTCAATTCATCAGAAAATATTTTGTCTGTATTGGACTCTCTAAAGACTGTTTTAAAAGGGTTGGAGTTTAGATTTTTTGCACTGGCATTGTAAGAAAATTGAGGTCTCTTTAATTCATGTGATTTGCTTTTGTTCAGCCATAGTTCTATTTTGGTTTCAAGTTGTAGTATATGTTAACACAATTCTGGGAAAAGATAAAAAATATGTAAATGTACTGTTAAATTACAGTCCCAAAATATGGAATTTGTTATTTTACAAAGGGCGTTGGTTTTATTGAGTCTGGCTTGGCAAAGAGATTAATTTTATGTAAATGGAAAGAAGCTTATCATCTTGATGTTAAGGAATAGATTCAAGCTATATTTTTTATTATCATTTTTTGAAATGTCTTTACATTCTAAAAATGAGAAGATGAAGTAATATCCTTCTACATAGTTTAGATTTAATGATTAAGGATAGAATTAATTTTAAACTGATACTACATTAGTCTTACTTTTTCTTAATTAGTTTCTTTTTCTTCTTTTATGTTTAGCTTAGTTTAATCATTGTAATGCATGTAGTTTTTTCCTGTAGAATAACTGATGTACTATATTGTTTGTTTGCAGTTGTTATATTTCATCAATAAAAATTTAAAAATACCTTTAGAGGCACACATACTCTGAAAACAAATCAACTGATTTCTGAATGGAAGATATGGGAAAATGCCTTTGTAACTTGAACATGGCATCTACGGCTATGTCACACAGAACAGGAAGACAATATCCATCAAGATCCTATGAAAACAGGATAAGGCTCCTTCTGAAAGGCAGCTAGCCTTTGATCAAGGTAGGAATTAATCAGAAAGGAGAAAAATAAAGTTGTTGCAGACTGCATTTGCATGCTATACCTGCACTCTATTTAGGGTACTCTCAATACTGAATAAGCCATCTTCAAAGAAAGATAGATCCTCGGTCCTAACCTTGGTGTCCATCCTAAGTCACACAAGGCAGAAGAAAGTATGTGAGATCATCATGACCATAGCTACTAAATCAGCTGCATGATGAGCTATATTCACCTCCTGTTTAACAAATTATGCTGTTTCTGTCTGGAAAACCTGGACAATCTGACATTTTTCAATTGGCAGGTATCATAAAAATAAGGATATTTTCTCCCATTAAAATATATTATCATATGTGCTTGATAATTGGCTTTAGTTATTTGTCAGATTTATATTCCAACTTTTGTTCTGGAGCACAACAAATTGTACATACCTCTCCTTCCTCCTAGGTTGGGTTGAGAGAGAACGACTAACCCAAAGTCAACCAGTGATAGTCCATGGACAAGAGTGGAGTAGAACTTGAGTCTCCCCAGTCCTACTCCAATACTTTAATCAATATGCCACAGTGGTTTTCAATACGGAGAAAGAGTGCTCCTGAAGAATATAACTTTCAAATGAGACCTGCCCAACTTTCCGTTCTATTTATCCAGTGTGGCGTAGAGGTTAAAATATATTTATTTTATTTATTTATTAAATTTCTCCCCTGCCCATCTCCCCCCAGCAGGGGACTCTGGGCGACTCACACAAAACATTAAAATCATAAATATATATAAATACATAAAACATCAAAATTTTAAAAACATTACTAAAAAAGGAAAAGGAGAGTCCAAGAAGATGAAGAATCTGGGGTTGAAGACAGCAGGCCTCTATGGGGCTAGCCATCCCCATGCTTGAAGTAT